TGTCTTCTCCTGAGGTGTGAGTACCCCCACCCAGGGCTGTCTGTGCCCGCCGCCAGCCCCCTGATGGCTGACTTTCCCACCCTCTTTTTGCGCAGTTGAAAGAAAGAAAGAAAGAAAGAAAGAAAGAAAGAAAGAAAGAAAGAAAGAAAGAAAGAAAGTAAAGCAGTTTCTGCTGTGAGCCCAAGACGGGCGAGCCGCCTGAGATCTCTTCGAGATACCCCCGGGGAGGAGGAGATGGGCTGGATTTAGTAGGACAACTCGATTACTAATGACTCCGCGGCTGGCTGCGACCCGCCGGGAAATCAGGTGCAAGCATGTGTGTTCGGGAACGCGTGTGTGGGTGGGCTGGGGGAGTGGGAAGGGAGTGAAGAAGCCTCTCTGAAAAATGCAGTGATTTCATTCCGCTGTGTTGCCCACCTCCTCCTGATTCTCCCTCCCTTCCCCTCCGCCTCCTTGCTTTGCCATTTTAATCGGGCTTCCTCGTTTCTTTCTTCTCCGCACCCCGCTTCCTCCCCCTGACCCCCACTCAAGGTTTGCCAGTAGGTACCCGAGCTGACACCGAAGGTGCCTAAAGATGCTGAGCGGCGTTTGGTTCCTCAGTGTGTTAACCGTGGCCGGGATTTTACAGACGGAGAGTCGCAAAACTGCCAAAGACATTTGCAAGATCCGGTGCCTGTGCGAAGAGAAGGAAAATGTACTGAATATTAACTGTGAAAACAAAGGATTTACAACTGTCAGCCTGCTTCAGCCCCCCCAGTATCGAATCTATCAGCTTTTTCTCAACGGTAACCTCCTGACAAGACTGTACCCAAACGAATTTGTCAATTACTCCAACGCGGTGACCCTTCACCTGGGTAACAACGGACTGCAGGAGATCCGAACTGGGGCCTTCAGTGGCCTGAAAACCCTCAAGAGACTGCACCTCAATAACAACAAGCTGGAGGTACTGCGGGAGGACACTTTCCTGGGCCTGGAGAGCCTGGAGTACCTCCAAGCTGACTATAATTACATCAGTGCCATTGAGGCAGGGGCATTCAGCAAACTTAATAAGCTCAAAGTGCTCATCTTGAATGACAACCTTCTGCTGTCGCTGCCCAGCAATGTGTTTAGGTTTGTCCTGCTGACCCACTTAGACCTGAGGGGGAACCGGCTGAAGGTAATGCCTTTCGCAGGCGTCCTTGAACACATCGGAGGGATAATGGAGATTCAGCTGGAGGAAAACCCCTGGAATTGCACATGTGACTTGCTTCCTCTCAAGGCGTGGCTAGACACCATAACGGTCTTCGTGGGGGAAATTGTCTGCGAAACACCCTTCAGGTTGCATGGGAAAGACGTGACCCAGCTGACCAGGCAAGACCTCTGTCCCAGAAAAAGCACCGGTGACTCCAGTCAAAGGGGCAGCCATGGTGACACACACGTGCAAAGGCTATCACCTACAATGAATCCTGCTCTCAACCCAACCAGGGCCCCAAAAGCCAGCCGGCCACCCAAAATGAGAAATCGTCCAACTCCCCGAGTGACTGTGTCAAAGGACCGGCAGAGCTTTGGCCCGATCATGGTGTACCAGACCAAGTCCCCTGTGCCCCTCACCTGCCCCAGTAGCTGTGTCTGCACCTCTCAGAGCTCTGACAATGGTCTCAACGTTAACTGCCAAGAAAGAAAGTTCACTAATATCTCTGACCTGCAGCCCAAACCTACCAGTCCAAAGAAACTCTACCTAACAGGGAACTATCTTCAAACTGTCTACAAGAATGACCTTTTAGACTACAGTTCTTTGGATTTGTTGCATTTAGGAAACAACAGGATTGCAATCGTTCAGGAAGGTGCCTTCACAAACCTGACCAGTTTACGCAGACTTTATCTGAATGGTAATTACCTTGAAGTGCTGTATCCTTCTATGTTTGACGGGCTGCAGAGCTTGCAGTATCTCTATTTAGAGTATAATGTCATTAAGGAAATCAAGCCGCTGACCTTTGATGCTTTGATTAACCTACAGCTCCTGTTTCTGAATAACAACCTGCTGAGGTCCTTACCCGATAATATATTTGGGGGCACAGCCCTCACCAGGCTAAATCTGAGAAACAACCACTTTTCACACCTGCCTGTGAAAGGAGTCCTGGATCAGCTTCCAGCTTTTATCCAGATAGATCTGCAAGAGAACCCATGGGACTGCACCTGTGATATCATGGGTCTAAAGGACTGGACAGAGCATGCCAACTCCCCTGTCATCATCAATGAGGTGACTTGTGAGTCTCCCGCTAAGCATGCAGGGGAGATACTGAAATTTCTGGGAAGGGAGGCCATCTGTCCAGATAGTCCCAACTTGTCAGACGGGACCATTTTGTCAATGAATCACAACACGGACACACCTCGGTCACTCAGCGTGTCTCCCAGTTCCTATCCTGAGCTACATACAGAAGTTCCACTCTCTGTCTTAATTTTGGGACTGCTTGTTGTTTTTATCCTGTCAGTCTGTTTTGGGGCTGGTTTGTTTGTCTTTGTCCTGAAACGCAGAAAGGGAGTGCCAAATGTTCCCAGGAGTGCCAACAACCTAGACGTAAGTTCCTTCCAATTACAGTATGGCTCTTACAACACAGAGACTCATGATAAAACTGATGGACATGTCTATAACTATATCCCCCCACCTGTGGGTCAGATGTGCCAAAACCCCATCTACATGCAGAAGGAAGGAGACCCCGTAGCCTATTACCGAAACCTGCAAGAATTCAACTATGGCAACCTGGAGGACAAGAAGGAAGAGCCAGCCACACTAGCTTACACAATCAGTGCCACCGAGTTGCTGGAAAAGCAGGCCACACCAAGAGAGCCCGAGCTGCTGTATCAAAATATTGCTGAGCGAGCCAAGGAACTCCCCAGCGCAGGCCTTGTCCACTATAACTTTTGTACCTTACCTAAAAGGCAGTTTGCCCCTTCATATGAATCTCGACGCCAAAACCAAGACAGAATCAATAAAACCGTTTTGTATGGAACTCCCAGGAAATGCTTTGTGGGGCAGTCAAAGCCCGACCACCCTTTACTGCAAGCTAAGCCGCAATCAGAACCAGACTACCTCGAAGTTCTGGAAAAACAAACTGCAATCAGTCAGCTGTGAAGGGAAATCATTTGCAACCCTAAGGCATCAAAGGATGCTGCTCCAAACTGTTGGAGGCACTGCGTTTGCTTTTGTGTTTTTTCTCTTTGTGTGTGTGTGTGTGTGTGTGTTCTCCCCTTCCAGGTGTTAATGGGGGATTCAGGTGTTAATGGGGGATTTCGAAATGTTTGGGAGATGCGGTGAAGCAGCAGTACCGCTGTTGCAAGTTTTTCCTTTAAATTATTTCTCTCTCACTCTCCCCTCACTGTTTTCTTCCTTCTCTTCTTAGGAACCATCAGTGAACAGGAATGTTTCTACAATGCATTTTTTCATGTATTTTGTGTTATGATTTTGCTTCTCCTTCCTTCCTTTCTTTTTCCAGTGTGGGAGTAGAAAGAGGAGATGATAGTGAATGAAGGAAGAGTAGGCGAACTGGTCCAATGGAAATGGATGATTAGTGTATTTTGTAGAAGATCTCCAAAGATCTTTTGGGACTACAACTTCTTTTGTAAATAACAGTACATGGTATTTTCATCTTCAGTTACCAAGTACAGCCGCCGGGCATCGCTTCTTTGTGTTAAAGTGCCTTTGCACTTTAAGTACATTACTTAAATGTTGCTTTTAGCTTTGATAAATTGAACATATTTTAATGTGTTGTATTTTTCAAAATGAAAACACTGTAAAATAGATCTATATGTGAGCTATATTAAGTCAACGTACGGTTTGCTTGATTTATGGAAACCAGCCTGTCATTAAATGATTCTAGTTTAGGACGGTATAGACTTAACTGTAAAATATTTCCTTTCCTCTGGGTTTGTTTTAAGTGATTTTATTTAAGTCAACTAAAGGGATTTAACAGGGGACTAGAGGTAATCAGCTGCCTCAGATGGGATTAGTAATTCATTAATAAAATATATTTAACCCAATATCAGAGTGGATTGAACAATTAATGCCCCTCCGTAAATCATTATGTTACACTAACATGATCGGTGTTTTAGATTATTTTCCTAATTAAGAATACATTACACAACTTGTAATATATTTTTTCTGCATTAAATTAGATATTTTTGTATATTTAAAAGGAAATCTGTATTTCTAACTTTTTAATTGAAATTAATATTTTCTCTGCCTATTGAAACATTTTCTATAAACACACACCAGTAGAGGCCGCCACACACCTCATTTAACAAAGACATAGGAGCCATGAAATACCTTGAAGGAAGACTTCAAAGGTGAGATTAAAACTTCCCAAATAAGTCCTCTGCAAATTCAAGACAGCAGAGATAACAATGTATACATGACTTTCTATTCCTTTTAGGGTCAAAGGTTAGACTGAGAATTCTTCTCAATTTTCACACGTTCTGACAAAGCAGCATTTTCCCTGGAGTTTAATTGAAGCATTAGTGGGGTGCTAGCAAATCACGTACTATTCACATCTCCAAATCTACTAATAGTTACCTAAACCGAGACAGTAATCATGTTTTCCCTTCTGCCTTCCTTAGGTATGTTTTACTTGACAGCGTCCTGGTCAGCTTGAGCAAGCCTTTCATTTTGGTCTTCGCATTAAATTGAGTTTAACTAACCAAGTCTCTAAAACATTTACAAAGCCTTATTAGCCTGTAAATAATTTTTAGATGCAAACATTATTGTGTGATTTAAACAAACAGCCCTTCTTTACAACAAAAAATAGCTTTGTTTTGTCTATTGTAAATCCTTATGCAACTGGGATGGTGATCTGCATATAAAGTAGTCCAGCTTTTCAATTCCTTATTAAAGCAAGTGATGGAGTCTGAAAGAAGCACACTGTTTCCTTTTCATAAATAGGTTACGGCACATAATAATCCTTTATCAACATGTGGAGATTGAAGTGGATCCTGATAACTTATTTTTAAAGCTTTAAAATGACTAATCATATATTGTCCATCACTATTAACCATTCATGTGATTGGCTTTCAATTAGAAATTACTTAAATTCAAATTATTTGGATTAATAATGAATGGTGCAAAGTAGTTTTTGAACAGTAGAAGATAACTGTGTACATATGTAAATGTAAAGGGCATTCAGGAGAAAATAACTTTGACAATCTAAAATCTCCGAGTATCTATGTGAACAAGCTAAATTGTGCATTCTTTGATCAGAGATCATAAGTCCTGTTTAAATCCACTAGATCAAAATTGAAAACAGTGGCCTGAGCTTATCTCCAAGAAAACATACAGAAATTTTACTTCTCATAGAAGAGCCACGAGAGTGTTGCACTAGTTGAATTTGGAGATTATTCCTGGGGAACTGCCTCATCCTTTAGTGAAATATTTATATAGAAAAGAGTCTCAATAATCCTCTCGTGACTGCCCTGCCCTCACAGGGTGCAGTAATCAATGCTGAATACAGAGGTAGATATTTTAGGAAGTTATGAAGGCAAATTAACATATATTCCATTAAGATGGCTTTTAGGCTTAAAATATATTATAAAGCTATCAATGTATTGATTCCACTTCAGTTTTATTATTATTCTCATGAAAGTAAAGCCCCCACACACAAAATGCCAGTGTTCACAACAAAATCAGTCATTAATCTTTTAATTCTTTCACTAGTGTGCTTCAATCTATATTCTCACGTTTTTCTAGATTCATACTTTATTTGTATTAGGTTTTGAGCTGAAGTTGTTTGCAAGTAGCCCAGACTAATTCATTTAAAAATACAATGGACCATTATACTTTGACACTTTACTTTCTAATGCAGTCAAGAATACTTTGTTGTATTAATTTATTAGCATCCTTACTGACTATATTCTGTTTTGTTTTACATGCTCAAGCATTTTCAAACATACTTTGTTTCCATATTTTTATTTTTATCTCCTCCAGCTGGATTTTATTTCCCTTTTCCTTCACATGCAGCTTGTAATGGGTGTGAGCTACAGCACTGAGAAAGGATTCCAGACAAGAGAATGCCGTTCCCAGGGTTCTGCCTGGAACAGACCTAGATCTGTGGCCCTACAAATGGCAAATGGTAATTCCCTTTGATTCTAGTTCTTAATTAGTTGCTTTCACTGTTTCTGAGTATACCTGTAGCTAAATTTGTATTGAGAACCACGTCTCTGACTCAACACCATTGCCAAGAGTCTAATTTGGTTCTGTATTTTAGTCAACCTGTGTGCCTTGTTTCCTCCAGCATTTGGTGAGTAAGGAAATGACTCTTTAGTTTCCTCTCTTTTTTTTTTTTTTTTTTTTTTTTTTTTTTTTTTTTTTTTTTTTTTTTTTTTTTTTTTTTTTTTTTTTTTTTTTTTTTTTTTTTTTTTTTTTTTTTTGTTTGGTTTTGGTTTTGGCCTCTCACCTCTATGGTGACTTAATTTTTCTAAATGATTTCATGTCATCAAGGGCTCGATACTTTAAGATTTTACAAAATGCGAGTAATGGACAAGAGAGAGGTTCTGTGATTTTTCAGATCCTCAAAACTCATTTTGATTGTACACATTCCCCAAACATACTGGATTGGATGCTGGAGTGCAGAAAGCCATTCAGCCAATCCCCCTAATGTATTCATTTCTTCATTCAGTAAATATTTCTTGAGTGCTCACTCCTTAGGTGCCAGGCTCTGCCCTGGGTTGAGGGAGCAGAGAGATACAGTAGACAAGATCTCTGCTGTTCTCGCTCTACCCTCTTTACCACCCCCCAACGTAATAGCCTCTTTCCACCTGGCAAGTAGCTCAGTGCACATAAAGGAGAACTTTATCTGAATGACAATCACCCAGAGTAAACAGTGGGAACAGTCATACAGTGCAGGAGGTTTAGTTTTTTTAAAAAACATTTCTGTGCATTAAGCTATAAAATTGGTATAAATAGACTGGCAACAACAATGGAAGCACTACTATCTCCTTGGAATTACATAACTGAAAAGGAAAAAGTGCCAACAAAATAAAACAAACCCACTGCAAAGTTGGGCTAATCTTAGGGCCTGTAGATAGCTTTATATGTATGCTATATAAAGATCTACTTTGCAAAGTTGACTATCAAGATTGTAAGTATGACATCACAGATGTACTTACATTTTCTGGGATATTCATGTTTTACGGGCAATATTTACTATCTCAGTGGCTTAAAAAGTAATATTTTGGCTTACGTGTCTCTTCCAAAAACAATGATAGAGCACTTAATTGGGAGAGAAAATTAAGTGCTGTATATATGTGTACTTTGCTTCTCACAAGGTTGTGCAAAAAGTCACACTGACATTGCAGTTTTGTAAATCAAGTTGTATTTTCAACTTATCGAGGGAGTTGCCAATTTGAGGAAACTTGTGAATCTTTTTTATAAAGCAGAAACCCATTTTTGTAATACAAATAATCATTCTCTAATTTATCTGTTTTGTATGTTTTGGATTTTCAATATTGACTTTGCTTAAAACAGAGCCCACGTGCATAATTAGAGTGTTTTGCCAATGCTGCTTGTGCTGCCAGTGCGTTGGTCGTTAAGGGCTTATACTCGAAAGTCTGCTGCAGTTTTGTGTGAACTGAGCTATCAAGCGATTCAAGGATGGCACAGCAGCATTCCTGAACAGGCTGAGTAGCCAACCCATTTCAGCTCCGTTGAACACAGGACTCCTCCTGCTCAACAGCATCTGCTCTCCCAGATATGACCATGTTTCCTTAGAGAGTAGAGTGACTCCTGTATTCACACTCTATCAAGTGATTAGAGTCACAGGTTTTGTAATAAATATATGTCATTCTGTAAACATATTGAATTGCATGTGTGTTGAAATTTTTTAGCAGTATTTTAGCTTGAAAGTACTTGTACAAATACTGTTAGATTTAGTTGCAAATAATTGTTCTCAAGTTATTGGAATAAACAGCAAATGAAACAAGCTCTGGTGTAAATAGACTTCTGTGACAAATAGTGATATTGGTTAAGAAAATAAATGTCATATTTTGGGCTGTTAATACATAAAATGAAATATTGAAAATGTGATCAAATGATATTGTATTTTATTGGATAAACATAGTTATTTTATGTTGTAGTTTTCAGTTAAATAAACATTCACTAAAAATGAACGTTTGAATTAGTTAGAAATATTTTTCAGAATCTAAGAGTAACTAATGAGAAAATAATGCAAAAACCATCATCCTCTTTGATATGTACTGTTGAAATGTGTACAAATTAAGG